CCGCCGCGCCCGGATCAAAGTCATCTCCAGTGCAATGGGCCCCGAGGGTGCTCTGAGAGCATCAAGCCCACGAGCAAGATGCCACTTCCGATAGTTCCCGACCCTGCTGTGGGATAAGTCCACTCAGCCCGAGAACCGGGACGTCTGGTTTCCCATCGTCCCTCTCCGAGATGTATGAGTTCCACCACACATATTTCTGTGTGGTCCCATTTCCTCCCCCACGGCTTCCAGACAGGACTCCGCCCGCCCGTGACGGCACAGAACCCTGCCCTTTAACCGCGTCTCTACCAGAGACACCTAGTGTGCAATGGAAGGTGGTTAATGAATAACAACCGCCCACTGGGCAAGTATGGCAGTGAATGTCTGGGTGCAATGTGGGAATAACCCACTCCAGACATTCGCGTCCCTAACTGGCATGGGCTCGATGGCATACCAGAGCCCGCCTGCGGATATAGCATCCACGTCGCCTCTTTGGCTCCCAAAGCCACGACGGGAACCAACCCCCTCCCCCTTCAGGGGGAGGGGGCGGAACCCCCCACGGATCTAGGAGCCCTGATGGATGCTCACCACTCCTCGCATGGTGAGAGAGCAAGCCTTCCTCTAACGGTGCCGTGCCACCGGGATTTGCAGTCAGAGTTTCCTTCTCCTACCGGCGTAGTGATTTCCCATTCTACAAGTGAATGGTTCCTCCAGACCCTCCATGCTCCGAAGAGTATAGAGGGTCCTTGGGACGCCGGATCCTAGCGTACAGAGTTCCTCTATTTAACGAGGGATTCCGTACTGTGGGATGTTAGCACCTCGGACCCTTCTAGGAGGACCGAGGTGAGCCCCCGTGTCACGACAAGGCCTCCCACGCACGGGGGACGCTACCTTAACTTTTTTTTGTGACGCAGGGGAAATGCGTTATGCATCCCCGTCTCCCCCGGGGGAAGGAGACAGGGTATGTGGGACTCTCTCCTCGAGACTGCTGTCCCGGGGAGCCTACCCACTAAAATCCCTGCAGACGTACCTAACCCGGACGATTTGGGGTCCATCCGGGAATTTCACATCTGTAGTACTTCCGGATGGACCCCCGCTTCATACATTGACATGTATCCTATACTTTATATATTTATATATTTATATATATACGTGAGGGTGTAAGGACGCCAGCAACACCCTCCCTTACCCTTGACCCGTCTCGAGGGGATCATGGACCCCCGTCCATGATCCCTCGGGCCCTCCCCTCGAAGGGCCAGAGAAGACTCTGGTTCGGCCTCCGAGCTTTCTCCCTACTTATTACTACTATTCATGAGACCGTTGACCCCGCTAATCGGTGTCAACGATAGTCTTCTCCTACCAGCCTTCGTAGGCGTATGGGCCGTGGGGAGGGTAAACTAAGTTATAGTTGGAGAAGCCCTCCTCCCCGCGGGATCGAAGTCCGAGTTTTCGGAACTCTGATTGGCCCGCTACCCGGTGCGATCGTCCCTCCTAGCTCTGCAGGGTAACCGTCCCTGTGTGGTCCTTACTCTCATTTCTTTCGCATACTAATTTTTTCCCTACTCTAATCTACTCTAACTGAGCTATTTATCCCACACCAGGGACACCTCTTACCCTACGATCCTAGTCTATGTGTAATCCTAAACTACACTTTCCTACCTATTACTACTAAATTCCTATATTTCTATGTCGGCAGATTGATCCTTTCACTCGCCCTCTCCGCATCTTCTTTCTGAGACATTACCTTCTCGCAGAATTTTAAGAACGCTATTCTTCCTTCTTCTCTCCTCATGGCTCTAACAATAGCTTTTAGGGAGAGATCTACTCCTACTATACCGCGTAGCTCCCTTCGCTCATTCTCCCATGCTGGGCAGTATCCCAGCGTATGTCTCGCTGAATCATTCAGCGAGTCACAATGCCAGCATTTGCAGGTGGTCTCCCTTCCGATCCGACACAGGTACCTCCCGAAGCAGCCATGCCCCGTTAGGACCTGCGTCGCCCAGAAGGAGAGACCCACCCTAGCGTCCAGCCATTCCTGTAGCTGGTCTCCCAGCGCTCCTAAGATCGTGTCGCCTTCCTGTGTCATTCCCTTTATCCATTTACTCCATTCCCTGGTCAACTTTCTTCTTGACGGTTCGTTAATGATGTCCACGTCAGTCTTCTGTATGGGAGTGTTATTTCGTTTTAAATTTGCCACTCTTTCGTACACTTCCTCTTATCTAATTGCCTCCAGTTCCATAGGCGGTATTCTTGCTAAGGCCGCATTTACCGCGTGTGACGTAGTCTTATAGGCTCTTATAAGGCGCCCTGTCATCCTACGCTGTGAGGCTCTCAGTATTTCAATGGCCTTTCTGTTACTTCTTATTTGGTAAGTCCATATAGGGGCTCCGTATAGGGCTATAGAGGTCACCACGTTGGTGTACAGCCTTCTCGCCTTCTCGTTTGGGCCTCCCAAATTAGGGAGGATCCTGCTCAGGCTCAATGCAGAGCCCTCCAACTTTGGCGCCAGATCCGCAAAGTGGGCCGTGAAAGACCACCTACTGTCCAACATTAAGCCCAGATACTTCATTTTTTGTCCGACTGGGATATCTAATCCCGTAATGTTGATGGAAGTGTGAGCGGACCTTCCTTTTTTATGGAAACCCACGATCTCGGTTTTTTGGGGAGATACCTCCAACCACATATCTTGGATCCTCTGAATCACGACGCTCACCACCATATTTGCTACCAGTGTTGCCTCTTCCCAGTCATCACCTGCTGCCAATATCAATGTATCGTCGGCATAACAGATTATATTGCTCTCGGCTACAAAGTCTTCCTTCCTCATTACCTCGTTAAAGCCAATATTCCAGAGCAGTGGACCTAAGATTGACCCTTGAGGAACCCCTCTTCTAACCGCTTTGTCTCCCGGTATACCATCTTCTTTGGGAAATGATAATTTCCTCCCGCTTAGGTAATCCCGTATGATCCTCCTGAGATAAAGAGGTACTCTGTGTTTATTGAGTGCCCTTCCGATAACCTCCTAAGGCATGGAATTGAAGGTATTTTTGATATCCAGTGAAACACCTATCACTACTTTCTCTGCCTCGAATGCCTCTTCCATGAACATTCTCGCCGTTGAGATCGCGTCTATCATAGACCTTCCTCTTCGAAATCCAAATTGTGAGTTGTTTAAATTTGGTCCTCTACTATCTAGATGCGCTATAACTCTTTCTACGATGATTCTTTCCAGCATCTTGGCTTCGTCGTCCAGTAAACATATTGGACGATAGCCCGCGGGTTGGTCATCTGGCTTATTATGCTTTCTCAATAGCACCAGTTTAGCGTTTTTCCATTTACTCGGGAAGATTCCCGACTTTAGGCACATTGTATATATTGCCTTTAATTCCTTCGCCATCTCATGGGCAGCAATCGCCCATGCCCTGGAAGGGATACTGCTTGGGCCCGGTGCCGCGTCCTTTGCCACCATCCGTCTAACGGCCGCCTTCAATTCCTCTTGTGAGACTTGTAAGTCTTCCTTCCAAGCAGATTCTCCATTTGTTGGCAATCCTGGTTCTATCCAGCCATCTGGCCCCACATCCGGAAAAAGTCCCATGAGCACACGATTTAAGGTGTTTTTATCTAGTGATTCCGTGTATGGGGGCGACCATCTCTTCAGTTTGTTCATAACTGTTTTGTATGGTCGTCCCCACGGATCCTCGTTTAATGAGAGCATAAATTCGTCCCAAGACTTCGCTTTGGCCCTTCGTATAGCTTTCCCAAAAGCGTCCCTGGCTTGCCTGAACTCCTCAAGCCTCATGTGAAGTTCCTCCTCGTCTTCGACTCATCGTCTTCTCATTCTTCTCATCCTTCTTCGGGCTGCTGTTAGCTCGTCTCTTAATTGATCAAGTTCTTCTGTCCACCAGGGCATTGCCTTGCTGGGTCTTGGCTCGCTCTTGGGCATGGCCATATTACATGCCGCTATCATTGTACCCTGTAACCTCTCAACCGAATCCTCAATTTCCACCTCTCTTGCATTATCTGCTATTTCATGGTTAGGCCAGCAGCTAGCAATCAACGCTGCCGAAAGCATATCTCTATCCATTTTTCTTACTGCCCATCTCTTTGGTGGCGGGTTTCTTTTTTCATCCGTTGCATGCGCGTGCATCTAATATCTATTTCGATATATTTATGATCGGATTTGCTTTCCCGGCTTGATACCTTCCATGAAGTTACTCTCCTAGCTGCAGCCGGGTTAGCGAATGAGAGGTCCACAATTGACTCTCCGTACGTCTTTATGCAAGTACTCTCCCTTCCTCGATTCAGACAACACATGCCTAGGCGGCTTGCCCATTTCACAACCATCTTACCGCGCAGATCTGTGACCTTGGATTTCCACAGGACAGCCTTCGCGTTAAAATCCCCCATTACACAGATGGGTCGGTCCCTCAATTGTTGGATGGTTCCTTCCAATTCTTCTAGTGCCTCTTCGTATAGTCCTGCGTCTAGTCTTGGGGATAAGTTGGTTCCCATAACCACCATATCGCCTCATCGTACAGAGGTAAAATACTGTCCGCTTCTGAAAGGCGTGCATGGTATTGCGTTGCTTGTACGCCTCCATGTTATCGCCACGGTTCTATTGGCGTTTCCTACCCAGTGAGGGTGATTCTTAGGAATCATATACGGCTCTGAAACCACCGCCATGGCGAAATCGCCCTCCGTCATTGTTTGAAGAAGGATATCGTAGCTATTCCTGGCATGGTTTATGTTTGGTGAATGTTTGCCTGTATGATTCTATTGTTCATTACTTTTATTATTGGTTTGGCGGATTCCTCCTTCTCCGCTACCTAGACCGTCCCTCGTGGCTTGTTGTCTTGTGACCCATTCTTGTCCTTCTTTCGACCATTCCATGGGGCTTAAACGTGGTTGCTCGTCTGTGTGTAATTCCACCGGCAATTCCTCCGTTTCTATTTCTTCTGTAGTTACTTGGCTCTCAGGTATATTTTCTTCCCTGACCCTACACTCTGCCAAGCGTCTTACCACGCTAGCTTCCCTCCCCCTCCTTTTTAATTCATCAACGGGGATTTGGGAGTGCGTTTCCACTTCCATCTGTATATTGTCCCTTCTTTCGTTTATCTTTCTTGACTGGGATTGTTTACAACAAGTCCCTTTTCCGTTTTATCCTTCCTGCGTAGTTTGGGAGGGTTGCACGCCGCTCCGCTCATCCTGTGGTCTGCCCTGATGTTTCTTGAAGCGCATATTGGGCAGTGCATCTGCTCTACGCAACCCCTCGCTATGTGACCGTATTTCCCGCATCTATAGCACACCGCGCTACGATCATTCTCGCTCTTGCACTGTTGTCTCACGTGCCCTGGTTCCAGACACCGATAGCATTGAGTTGTGCGTTCTGGAAGTAACTCTACCCGGGCCATCGTCCATCCAATACGGATTTTTTTCGTTTTTGTTATGCTTTTTGCCGTTGCTAATGGGCATCTGAGCCATAATGTTCCTAACCCGTTGAAAGCCTTAGTTATTTCCCCCATTTTGAATACTTCCTCCGTGCAGTTTCCCAGAAGAGTCAATGTTAGAAGGATGTCCTCCTTAGTCGTTGACTCCTCCAGGTCTCTAATTCTTATGTCGGCTGTTTTTTCCGGTCTTGTAATGAGCACATCCTGCTGGTCCGCCAGTGCCGCTTTAAGTTTTTCTGCCAACTTATTAGCCTTATTTCTACCTTCTATTCCCGGGATCTCTAGCAATAAGGCTCCTGTTCTTGATTTTCTCGGCCGTATTTCGAGAATACCTAGCGCTTCCACATCAACCTTTTCTTTTGCCGTTTTCATAACATTAGCGTAACTTGTATCTCCTCTACAACTGATTTGTACAGCCGCAGTTCTAGGAGTCCTTCTATTATCTATAATTTTCTTACTCTCCTTCCTCAGTGTACCAATATTTCCTGTACTTTTTCCTGTTATTGAAGCAGGTGTTCCGTCCTTACTAGATATTGTTTTTCTTGTCTTTCTCCCCACCACTTTGCTCCATGGTATCTCCCGATTATTTCCGCTTTCCGACGCTTTTTCTTCCGTCTCAGTTGTTCTTATAGAACTTGGGGTTATCAACTCCCTTGTATGAGCACTTTTCTTCCTATCCTCAGGAACCGGCCTCTTTCCTGCTTCCCCGTGAAGGCTTTTCGTTTCCTTCGCATCTTTGATGATAAACATCTCTTTTACTACTGGCTTTTTCTAGAGCTTGGCAACTTCCTCCGTAACTATCTCTTTGATCATTTTCGCCAAAGATTTTGGTGACGTGTCGCTAATATTTTTAACGTACTCCTTACTATGTTTGAATCCTTTAGCCTCAGACTCTATAATTGAATCCGTCTCCTTTGCCTCCGCCATGTACCTCTTATGTGCCGAGTAGATGGCTTCTTGTGATTTACTATCATCGGTGATGAGTTTACTCTTCCCTCCTATTGCTGGTCGTCTAACTTCTGGCCAGGTTTCCGGCCTATCCAATACCGTTATTTCTCCCCTTTCATCGTCTACCTCCATATACTCAGATTCCGAAGACGCAATATTTTCCCTGGCCCTGAATTTTGCCGACGGGATACGCTTCGGACTTTTTTTCGTAACTAACTCTTTCGACGGTCCCTGTTTGAGGCTCGGTGTTTTGTCCTTCTTGCTTGTTTTTTCTTTTTTCAAGGATTGCAACTCTTTTCTATAAGCCTCAGCCTCCCCCGCTGCCTGGAGCGCTTTTCTCCTTTCATTCTCCACCTCGTCTTCTAGCCTAATTCTTAGAGTCGCTATCTCTCTCTTAAGAGCTTTAATCTCTCCCGATCTCGCCTCTTCTATGGAGAGAGAAACCCTGTCCTTGAATACCTGCACGATTCCTATCGAAGCCGCCGCCGCTAGCTTCAGGCTCTTCTGGTATGTCCCTTTGAGATTGCTTGAAGTTCTTGCAATCCTTAGAACCTCCGTGAGGTTATCATGAGCTTTATCCGCAAGTTCCTCGTTTGTGAGCTCTGACATTTGCTCTTTGATTCCTTCCACATTTAACTTCGCCTTCTTAAATAACTCATTATCGCTATATTCCCATATAATTTTTTCTCTATCCAATTGCAGGGACTCCTCTTTAGCTTTATTGTACTTCATAATTGCGTCCCTCCTTCCTATATAATCTCCTGTTGTACGTCCTTTACTGCTGTCTGAGACCGATCCCGACCTTTCCCTTTTCCTGTGCACTGCCGGGGTTTGAGATTCTATACTCAGTACATTAACCTTTTCCAGCGTTGATGCGTCAGAGTCTTCTTCAATTTTTATTTTACTGCCTCTCCCTTTATGTAGTCTAGTGTCCAACTCACTATCGGAAGAACTGATTCCAACAGTCTCCGTCTCCATTGCAGATGAGTCAGCACCTGCACTATCCTTTGTTGATGTCCTTGTAATCCGCTGTCCCGGTCTTCTGAAAAACGATTTTTTCGTCTCCGTTTTGACTCTATCTCTAGTCCGGGATGTTCCTGCCGTAGCGGCAGCTTGCGGCACTGCATCTACCCTATCCGGATTTGTCCCTATCCCTTCTATCTCCATCGATTGTGATTGTGTGTTTGAAATATTTGGCTCCATAATCTTTTCTATCCCACTCCCCACGCCGGCTGCGTCGTCCAGGATGTACCCTCCCTGCCTCTCGGCAGAACCCCGAGTTCCCCCGGGGGGACGACATATGCCGCTGTCCTGCGGAATTTGCATCGCAGGAGCTGAGCTCCAGCCCCCTACTCACCTTCGGCTGTAGTGCTAGGCCTAGGGCTTTCAGGGGTCCCCTGGCTCCGACTCCAGGGGCACCGGCGTGGGTGACGCCACTCGGGGGGGCCCCATGGACGGTTTGGGTAACGGAGGCGACGCCCCCTCCGCACCC